GAAACACACAAAAACCATACAGAAAGCATACAAACTCCCAGAGAAACACCCAAAACCCACCCAAAACCCCCCAAAACCCCCCAAGCCCACCTTGTTGGCCAGCAGCAGGCAGGGCACGGGGCTCCCGTCTGGCAGCAGCAGTTTGCTGTCCAGGTCCTGCTTCCACTTGTGGCTGTTGCTGAAGGTGCTGGCGTTGGTGACATCAAACATGATGACACAGGCTGAGGCGTCCCTGTAGTACAGCCGGGTCATGGATGTGAAACGTTCCTGCCCTTCGGGGTCACAGCCGGGGGAAAAACGGCCCAGAGTTGTTATTTTGGGGTTTTTTTATCGTGCTGGTGTTGTGTTGACGCGGTGTTCTTGCAGGGGTTTTGGGATTTAGGGTGTGTTCGGCCTGGGAGGTTCTGTGTTGGGCAGGGGTCGGGTCATGGAATCATGAAAAATGCACAGGGAAGCATGTAAAATCACAGAGAAGCACACAAAAAGCACACAGAAACACAGAAAAACCATAAAAAAAACAGAGAAACAGAAAAACCATACAAACCCACAGAGAAACACACACAAATGCACACAAAAACCCATAGAGAAACACAGAAAAACCCACAGAGATAGACATAAATCCATAGAGAAATGCACAAAACCCATATAAACCCACAGAGCAACACATAAAACTCACACAAACCCACAGAGAAACCCACAAAACACACAAAAACCCACAGAGAAACACAGAAAAACCATGCATACATACAAAGAAACACAGAAAAACACACAAAAAACAAACCCACAAACACACAAAATACACACAAAAAACACAGAAACCCACAGAGAAACACACAAAATACACACAGAAAACCACACAAACCCACAGAGAAACCCACAAAATACACACAAAAAACACAGAAACCCACAGAGAAACACACAAAATACACACAAAAAACACAGAAACCCACAGAGAAACACACAAAATACACACAAAACCCACAGAGAAACACAGAAAATACGCACAAAACCCACAGAGAAACACACAAAATACACACAAAAAACCACACAAACCCACAGAGAAACCCACAAAATACACACAAAACCCCACACAAACACACAAAGAAAGCCACAAAACACACACTGGGTTTGTTTGGGTTAAAAGGGACCAAAATTCACCCCATGCCAGGGGGGCAGGACCCTCTCCCCTGTGCTCTGGGACACTCCAGGGATGGGGCATTCCCAAAATTCACATTATTCTCATCGTTCCCACCTGGGCACCACAAGGGCACAGCGCCAGCTCTGCTTCCCACACCTCAAACTCCTTTTTTTGGGGGGCCAAAACTGAAAGCAGTTTCTCGCTGCGCTGCTCCCTCTGCCAACTTCTCCTTCCTGGTGCCTTTTTGAGGATTCCAGGCAGCAGCAGAGGAAACCACAGCCCTGTTTTCCTCCCTGCTCCACATCCATTTTAGAGCTGCTGCTGCTGCCCACAGCCCTCCTGCTGCCAGGGAATTTGGGAAATTCCTTTCTCTGCCCCTCGTCCCGCTCCAGTTTTTATAATTCTGCCCCTCAGAGTGTGTCTCGTGCCAGAAATTTGGATTTTAACATGAGCGGTCTCATATCCAGGCAGTTCCACGCTCCCCCTGCTCTGGAACAGAAAGGAAAGGCTCAGCAGGAATTGCTGTCTGCATTCCTTGCAGGTGGGTTTTTAATTAAATATTTAAATGACTACAGCAGGCTCGAGGCAGCCAAGCAGAGCAGTCCTG